TTTTTGTTATTATACAAATTATTTATCATAAATCTAAAATATAGTTTATGTTTAAAAATATTTATATATACTAATTTTCAATATAATTTTTATATTCAAACATAGTATTTATTTACATATATAATTTTTTTTTTATAAATTTTAATTATATGTAATAAACATTTATTACACATGCTAAAATATTAGTTTTATATGTAATTTAAAATGTAAAAAATAGAAAAGCATCAACCCATATATATATAAACCCAGTATATTTATTGAAAGAAAAAAAAAACATCAGAGCATATAGACAGGTTCATCTCGATAATCTACATGATAAAGAATTATTTTCAAATTTCAATGCCTACTTAAATTATTGGATGAAAAAAAAAATTAATGAAAGGTAGCACCAACAAAATCTATAATTATACAATATCTAACTTTATCTTTGAAGAAAATACAACAAGGACTGCAGCACATATATATTAAAGAAGTTTATGTTAGCTCACTTGATTGATCAATGTTTGAAATTTTGTAAACTTCAATATTGAGTTTGATTTATATTGATATTCAAAAAAAAAGTTTAGCTAGTACATACAACAAGCAAACCATATTGACCACTAAAAACTTGTGTGGTGCCCATAAGGAAAATTCTTTTCCTAGTTTCTATATTGAAGAAGATACATACATATACAAACATACATGTATAGGAATAATGACTTTGAATTCTAGCTATATATGTTGTGAAGGTGTAATCTTGATAACAAGGCCAGGGAAGACATCATCTGGGTCATGGATATGAGGGTTCTTCTCCACTATAAAGGGGTCACCACACTTGTCACTGATTGTGTGAAGTGTCTCTCCTTCTCCAACCACATATATTTCATCACAGGGCTTGGACACCACCTCCTGGTTGCCTCTGATCAAGTAGTTGCCCTGATCTTGAAGGGCATACGTGTCCCTAATGCATAGCAATATTATGAGGGACACAAGAAGACATGCACACCACCATGAGGCTGCTTCAGCTATGGCTTTTGAACTTGACAATATTGGTGCCTTTCTTGCTTTCATAATACCCATCACTCTAATTGGAGATAGTGAGATATGGAGTGAGTTTTTGTGGTCTATTACTCTGCCCTAAGTGGAGAGTTTAGCTGTATAATGTGCTACGTGAGTTTAACACCTTTTATAAGCCAAATTATCTTTTTATTAATATTTTGATATTCATAGTGAATTTAAAGAAATTTAATTTCAAAAATTATTATAAAAGTCGTCAAATATAAATACTATATATAATTTGTGATCAATTAAAGTTATCTTAATGATAATAAAAGATTACAAAAATTTCAAACATTGTTGTTGTCATATATATATATTATAGCTATTTTGGTAGATTTTAATTTTTATGCACAGTTCATCTTGTTAAAAAAATTATATTTTTATTCAATAAAAAAAATATTGTTGATATAATTAATTTTTAAAGTAACTAGTTATTAAAAAAGAAGATAAAGTTATTATGAAAAATAGTTTGTTGTTGAATGACAATGGTAGATCACTGGTTAAATACTCAAATACTTTTCCCTTATTTTAGATATTTCATTTTTTTTAATGCTTTAGTCTTAGTATTTGTGGTTCTCAATCCTGGGCTTTGAAAGTCACTTGAATTCACTACATATTATAACAAGTTGAGGTCACCAAATAAATATAATAAACTGTTTTTATTCAAAAATCTTTTATTTTTGGGACATAAAATATAACATAATATAAATTTAAATAAGATTTCAACCCTTACTATTTCCATCCAATTACATTTCAATTAAAATTTGTTATTTTTAAGAATCACTCTATATTTTCACTTGAGACGTGTTTGAATAAATTTCACAATAAGTATTTATATGAAAAGAAAATAAGAAGGTAAAATAAATGAAACTCTTCTCATAAATTAAAATTAATTTATTCACAAATTAAAAGTAACCGTTAAAGAAATTAAATAAGGGAATTTATAAATTAACTTGGACAAAAGTTTATTTTAACTTATCAAACAAAGATAAATCATTTTATCTTTTTTATTTTCTACTGTAATTGCTTAGTGACAAAACTATCCAAACAAGACTTTTGTTAGGTTAACTATTTCCTACCTATACTTTCACTTATTTAGGTTTTGGTCTTTTAGTAACTGATTTCTTAATAAATAGAAACACATAAACAAACCATCCATTTAAAATAAAGACCAAATCTAAAATTATAAAAATCCACATACAAATTATAGAGAATAAACCCGAAATAGATAAATATATATTTTAAGACCAAAGTCGTGTTTGCATTTTTGTACTGATAAGTTATATAATTTTACTATTTGATGCACATATATTCATGTCAAAAAAATTTGAATATAGTTTTAATGATTCAAAAGTGGATACATTGTATAGATTTTGAATAAGATAAACGTGTTGGTCATCCATCTTTATTCTTCGGTGCTCTCCACAACTTTGTTTAAACAAGTTTGTGTTAATATAAGTGGGACAAGTGGAACCACAAGGATCTCAAATCGATAATCATTATGGGGTTAGAGCCACGAATTAAAATTGCATTGCTGATATTCTTGAAAACATAATGGAGGGTGACTAGGAGACTAGTAGTATGTTGACAAAAGAAATTTTATTTATATAATATTTTTGTATAATAAAGACAGAGGGAAAAACTATAAAAGTAAGATTATTGATATGGAGAAAAATATTATAAAAGTGTTCCTTCACAAGAATTAATGATTACTCAAATTTAACGCATGCTTGATGAAAGATATTATAATTAGGACTTGTGTTGTAAGTGGGTTGTTGACTTGAAAATGTGGTTGTCACCATTTTGAGTGCTTTGGATTTTGGTTGAGAAATTTGAGCATACATCATTTGTCACGATTAGCAGTTTAATTGATAAAAAATGAGGACAAAAACTTATCACTTACTACTAGTTTATAAATTAGAAATTTAATAATGAAATAAATATATTTTATAAAATGTTGTACAATAGGAATGTTTTTTGAGTTTATTAATTTATATACGTATATATATATAGTGACGAAATTTGAATAAAAAACTTGTGTCAAATTATTATTTTTATATATAAATTAAAATTTTTAATTAATTAAAAAGATAACAGAGTTTCTCATTTTCTCTATTTAAAATAAACATACATGATAATAAAATTTTAAAAAAAAGTATTATTATTTACTAGTCATTTCATAAAATAATCATACAAATATAATATTAAAATAATATATATATATATATATATATATGAGTATATATATATAAAAAAATTAAAAAAATATGGGAGAGTCTTGGCTCTCCTGTCTTAAAGAAGATCTGTCACTATATATATATATAGATAATTTTATTTATACTATTAATAAAGGTGATTATTTTTTTTTATAATTAACCATCTCTCTTGTACTTTCATTTTCAAATTTTGTATTTAAATAAAATATACAAATTCTAGACCAATTTATCTATATAACTACCTTTAAATCGTTTTCTTTCATTATTTATTTATTTATTTTCTCTTTTTTCTACTTCAATAACATTTATTTTCTAAACCTTTCAATCTGTCACCCTTTGAGTAACCACTCATTGTGTTCTTTTTTATTTTTATTTTTAAATAGAGATGTACGAAATGTCTCTTTTTCTTAGTAAAATAATATAGTAAATAACTAGTTATTTATTTTATATGTAAAAGGGATATTTCCTTTTGATTTCCACAATTTTTTTAGATAGTTATATCTTTTTATTATATATTAATCATTTTCTCACCATTATATATCTCAAGTGTAAAATAGAAAGAAAAAATATGTGCACAAAAAATTAACTACTACTCTATCAATAAATAAAAATTATCAACTTATTTTGTAATTACCTTTATTTTTATTTAAGATTATTTTACCTTTTTTTCTAATTATAAATTATCTCACTCGATTTACATGGTATAAGTTGTAATTTTTATTATTTCTATTTTTTAATTTTTAATTTTTAAATAAAATTTATAAAAATACAAAGTGTCTCTATTTCATTAGTATTATTAATAAAGATTATATGCTTTTTGGGCCTGTATATTTTGTTAATTTTTTACTCCTTAACTTTCAAAACACTCTTTTTCTCCCATACTTTATTTTTATTTTGTTTCCACGCCATCTTTATAACTACTAAAATTTGATCATACCTTCTCATTATTAACCAACTATACATATTTAACTTTAATTATTTTTTTATAATTTATTATTATTATTTTTTAAAGTGCATGGCATGGAGACACAAAGTGCGTTTCTTACGGTAGTATTAATAAAGACAATACATATTTTTGGCTTTCAAAACATTTTTTATCTCATACTTTTTTTATTTAGTTTTTATTTTTTTTCTACTTTTTCTGTAAATTTATTTTTCAAGATTCTCACACTTTCTAAATAACAATTTAAAACAGTTTGCACCCTCTAATTATTACCCGCTCATACATATTTAATTTTAATTATTTTAAATATTTTTTTAAAATAAATACATAAGAGCAGAGTCTTCAATATATTGATTTAAACCAAATAAATCAATTTAAACGTGTTTAAAGTTTTTAAAAATCACAATTTTTTATTTTAAATCCTACAATTTTTTATTAATCTTTAGATCTTATATATTTAATAAAAACCGAATTGTATCAGACCTTGGTAACATTTTGGGCTTAAAAACGAATAATTTTCTATAATAAATTAAAGAGTAAATAGTCTTCTTAAAAATTGTGAAGTGTCGCCACATTTATTTAACATTTACATAATTTTAACAACTAATATGATTACATCTTTTAAATTCAATAACCAAAATAATCATTTGCTTGAAATAAAATAAAATATTAAAAAAAAGTGTCATAATTTTAAGAACAAGATTCTATTTAAGTTGATTAAATAATATTTCTTAATACAAATAGTGTAAAATACTAGTTAATTAAAAAAAACTATAAAAAAAATGAAAAAGAAGATTCCTTCAAATTGCATCAGTTAATTTTGCACATGTAAAAGGTATATTTGAAGTGCTTCTGATTGTGACATGATCCCATTATGTTTATAAGTCTGCATTTTAGATTTTAATAGTTGGACGGAAGCTAAGGTGGGGAGACTCTCACGTCTCCCATATGGAAGAGTTTCTCATTAATCATTAATATTTTTTCTATTTTAGATTAATTGTTATTTTTTTTTTTTTTTAAATTACACCAAACCTAGCCCACTTTCTCTTTATATCTCTTGAATTATTTTTTTTCTTTTTTCAATACCAAAATTTTTAATTTAAGATTCTCAAAAAATAAAAAATATTCTGTTTACTAAATATCGGCTAATTATTAAATTAGGTAAATTTAGATAATGTAAAGTTACTAGTGATGAATTCAAACAAGATCGTTTCGAATAAACGCTACCTGTGATATATAGAACAAAAAAGTGACTCGGAAGACACAAAATATGCCTTCCAACGAGAACTAATGAAAAATAAAACGAAATTTGATTTACGTTTTCATTGCATTTTTTTTTTTTTTTTTGTGTATTATTCTTCTCAGCTCATCATCTTTCCTTTGGGTAATGATATTCACTTATTTTGACACTGCTTCACTATTAATTACTCTACTTAACTCTGTTTCCATTAGGCCCCTTTACCGATTAGCATTTCATTCCTAAGCCTGTTACGATCTACACCTCAAACTTAAGACATCTATGATTAACTGATTTAACTGTTTTACTAAAATTGTATATTGGACTCTCGTATAGCAAGCAAACAAAACTTGTGTCCATTCTCTTGTTACAAATGCTTATCTAATTTAAAGAACAACAAAACAAATGGTTGGCCACCATTGTTCTTAAGTACTACTTCTTGCAGCTCCTAATGTACAAGTGAACATGTGCATGCAATGGCATGCTTGCTTCCTCATTTTCATTGAACTTGTGAGACTCGAACAGAATCTCGTCACATTCCAGAAGAAAGCATATTTGCATGAAGCTACACAACATACAATGGAACGGTCGAGCTGAGGCCGCTCAGCAATGGAATCAACTACATCTCAGTCTCAAACATCCATGCATGTGCATGAAAACTCCCTCATGTTGGTTGGCCAGGAACACATGAAGAAAAATGCTTTTGGGATTAGAACTAATATTAGCTTAAAAATTGAATTAGACCTGTTGCTGATATGAAGATATTGGCAAAATTTGGTTGGCTTGAGATTCTCTATACATCATGAATGTTGGAACCTAGCAATTTGTCCTCCTCTCTTGGAATTTCTGTGAGTTGAACACCAGACCGCGTGATCTTGTTCCACTCGTTTTCGACTCTGAAAAATACCCACTGGAAGCGGCGGAACATCTCCAAAAGAGTGATGGTAAACACTGTCAGGTAGTTATGGCGGAGATGGGCTGATAATTTGTATGTCCATGAGCAGCGCAAAATGAAGTTGCTTCCGATCACCCAATAGTATATCTGCAGATCAGAAATCAGATCTGTAAGGTCGAATGAACATGTGTTGCATCTTTGTAATAACATGCTTCAGCTTCTTACCCATTGTCTACCATATAACAGGTTGGAGATTGAATTTGATTTGTTGAACTTGAATATGCGAGAAAAGCCACTGTAAGACAAAGGAAAAAAGATAAAAATTTTGATATGAAGCAAAATCATTGTGTCATAGAAAGTATAGTACAGCATTAAACTAGCATCTAGACACCGGTGCATTTTATTTTTTATTTCTCATAACAGTATCACCCAACTTAAATAGGATTGTTTTCGATAAAGAATATCTGTAGTCTATACCAAAAGGTGCATTTTCTTTTGGTTCTCACCGGTATGACCCTAAATATGGGCACCTTTCCTAGCAAAGATTAGAACCATAGTTTACAACATTATGAGGGACTAGCCCCTTCCGTTAAACCTTGATTCAAACATTCTTCAAAAAAAAAAATTATCATAAGATTTAAAAATTAAACTTTTGTAGATGTAATACTTGTACCTATGCAAACTGCAAGGTATGTTATTAACAATCTGAAAAGGAAAGATTATAGATGTGGTACCTTAAATCCCAATCCCGGGTTATATCCCAGTAAAATGAATAGAGGGAATTAATGACACTTGAGAGAAGCCACAATGGCCTATAAAGAGATGTCCATTTCTCATGGAGGACATGGTATTTAAGAGCTGAAAGAAAAATTACTGGAACTGCTGTTGAATATTTTAAAGCTGGAAAACAAATGCAAATGGAGTTAGAATACTGGGATATCAAGCAAACACAATTATCATAGTTCATAGCTATTATTTTAAATAAGCAACGAGATGATCAATTTTTGTGCCTTAGAAGATGACAAGCATTTGCACTTTCAGGACAACCACCCAACCGGGACATGTTACACTTTCAAGAAAGCAATGGATAAAGTTACCAAGAGCAATTACCATTGAAGAGACAATTTTTTTCTTTGGTATCTCTGTACTGGCGAAGACATTGCAATAAACGCCATATATAAGGAAGAACAAGGACTATTGGTATTGCAACTGAGTGACCACCGCAAACTGAATCAGCTTCAAGCCAAGCAATTGTGGCAACCTGCATATTTTTAAAAATAAAAAATATTGTATTCAAGTCCTTGTATCAAAATATGGAAGGAAACGCATAAATTTGCACAGGCAAAAGATGACAGAGAAGGGGAAAACTGGGCCATGTTTGTTTATTGCTTTCAGAAACAATTTTTTGTTCTCTAAAATTTGAGGGACATTTCTGTTTTCTAAAAGTTTGTCCCCTGATCACTTGAACATAGCACTTGAAGAAAACAGTAGAGAGTGAGTACACATCTCAGTTGTTTGTGCTTTTTGGCTTTTAAAACACTTGTTATGGAAATAGCTTTAAAAAATTTAATATATTTTGGATGAGAAATGAATTTGGGAGTAAAGTGGAATGGCTTTAAGAAACAGATTTTAAAACAAAAAGATGAGAAGGGAATATAAAAGATCCTTAGTTTTGATGAATCTACCGCATACAACCTAGGTTGGCACCAATTGTATCAAAAAGATCTAAGTGCAAATGAGAAGATTATAACCATTAAGGAACATCAATGATAAAAGAAAAGTGCACATGCAAAATAGGGGTGTGAAGCTTTTAGTTGAATGCTTCAAATTTCAAAGTGGTCTAATGAGTCATATACAGGAATATAGAACTTTCATATGCTCATTCTGTAAATTTAAAATTTTGTCACAATATTACAGAAAGGTTATTATTTCAACTCAGAAGACAGATTAACTCCAAAATACAGATGAACCAAAATAGAGATCAACAAGTTACAAACAATATAAAGAAAAAGACAATTTGGTAAACCATACCTGTCTGTTTACCATTCTGCAAACTGAACGTTCCAAATCTGAAAATACCTGTATGCCATGCACAATTAGAAGCAACAACTAGAAAAAGGAATTGATTATTAACATAAAAAAACATCAGGAAAGATCACAGCACAATTTTTTTTTGTTTCTTTTTCAAATAAATTATCAAATCAGTAAGCACTTAGAAATTGACATTTATCACGTAAATAGAAGAATGCACCAAGAAATGGGCTATTATGATATTACTATACCTTTGCCATGGAGGTTAAAATATCAGCCACGAAAAAGTCGGGAAATGATATTGGCTGTACAAAGAAAAGAACCATTATTTGTAAGACAAAATTATAAGCTATATAAATGTCATCCGTGAGAAAAACCAACTAACAAACCTATAGAAACTAGTAAAAATAACAACCTAAAATATCAAAACAATTGAATCAAACTAGTAGCCCTCAGATTTGTAAATTCACATCAAAAAACTAAAAACACAACTATTGGATGTTTCAGGTGCTTTGTAAAAGGAACCCAAATGCAGATCAACACTCAAAATTACATGTCAGCCATGACAGTCAAGAATCTTACCTGTAAAGGAAAAGCTATCCGAAATAGTGTCCTCAAAAAGAAGTACCGAGAGGACAAATAGAAAATATCAAAGGGAAAGATCAAGATTACTGCAACAAGAATGTAGAGAAGCACCTGCAATATCATACATATGTCAGATGATCAAAATAAATGGTAGACAAAATGATTCTCATAGAAAGGGTCACAGGAACAGAAAGCAATCCATTTCCTGGAATATAGGAAGACTTGCTTATGGCCATTTTAAAAAAATAATAATAATAATTTAAGACATCAGCTACCACATGAAATCATAACTATTAGAGATCTCACGTTGGCTAGTGATATAGCCTAAATAGCAATATATAAGTGGAGGGCAACCCAACTTTTGAGCAAGATTTTGGGGATGAGTTTGGCCTGAGCCCAAATTCTAAGACAAATCCCCACCTCTTGAGCTAGCTTTAGGGATTAAGTAGGGTTAAACCAATATTCTAAGATAGAATCAAACCTTAACTTAACATATGTGTTTAGGCGTATCATGCCACTTGTTATCAAGTGGTTATTAAATCACTCGTATATGTTTAGTTCACAAATTTCATGCTCGAGATGTGAAGTTTTTGACGTGAGTAGAGTGTTAAAGATCCTACATGGACTAATAATATGACCAGCATAATGTATCCAAGTGGGGGAAACCCTCACCTCTGGAACTAGCTTTTGGGATTGTGTTAGACCAAAATCCAAATTCTAAGAATAACTAAAAAGCCCCTTTGTGCCAAAACAAAAAAAAAATGACAATTACACATACATTTAAGAAATATCATATTCAAAGCAGTCACATTCAACTGGTGGAGAGGATAGAGAAAGCTAGAAGGAAAGAATAGAGCAGATACTAAACTGGTTGAGATGCAGCCAATGATACTTCCCCATGAGAATAGAGATAGAGATAAGCAGTCATGCTAGTAGGGACAATGATTGTCATCCAAGTGCTACACTGAAAATAGCATAAGAGTTTAAGTTAATATATAACCATGCATAGTGGGTCTGTATAGCAGCAGCAGCACAAATCCATGCTATTGACACAACTTCCAGATCCTTTACTGTAAAAAATTAAAGTTGATGCAGAAACATAGATTGGAGGTTGGACTATCTCTTTATTGTGACAAGGCTGCTATAACCAGTAAAATGAAATATAGCAATATTTTTTCAAAGAACCAGATACAGACAAATCCATGATTGAAATATTGATTTTCAAAATCAAGAATCAAGAAAAACATCAAACAACTTTCCACTTTGCATTGAATAATGTTTTCTCCAAAAAGAAGGCAAAGAACCTGGCTACCTTCCATATCTCTTTGTTAGTAAGGTGGTTTTGATCAAGATCAAAAACCTTAGCATAGCTTACAGTTGATTGCAGAAATACCCACAAATTTACTCCCCAGAGCCAAACCATCATAGTCTGTAACAGCAAAGTAACAACAAAAACCATCAAGTAAAATTCCATAAAAATTGTGCATAATGTACAACACGTAGAGGAGAATTAACCCCCAACTCACCACAAGAAGGAGAGGGTTGTAATACAAAAATGCCTCATATAAAAACAGGTCTCGTAAATTTGCATCCATTCTCATGACAGAATCCCAACCAATCTGATTTAAGATCATGAAAAGGCAAATATTAGGTGTGGAATACACAAGGAAATTACAAGAGGTCTTCTCAAGAGATCTTCTTTTTCATCCATGTAAATTTATAAATATTATAAAAGTGAAAAGACAGGTTCTTACCTTACAGCAAGTAACACCCCAAATCAGAAAGAG